TATTTAAAGTTATTGTTAATATTTAATATTTTAATATTTGTATTTTTCATTTAATGTTGATTTATAGAAAATAATTAATGTAAATTTAATATGAATAAATATTTAAAAATAATAATTGTATTAATCATTTGTAATATTTTAATAGCTTTTATCATTTTTTAAATGAAATTTTGATTGACTTTAAATAAATAAAAATAATTAAAAATGCTAACATTTTTATTAATTTCATTAACAATTATATAGGAATGGCAACGGGGCGGGTTCGGGGTGGGGCACCCCATCCCTGTCCCCACCCTATAGTCAAGACACTATACCCCATCTCTGCCCCGTCCCTAGTGTCAAGTGGGTTCTGGGCAAGGCACCCACTCCCCTGGTAGGAATGGGGAATGCTGAAATTTCCTTACCTCGTCCTCAGTGCCGGGCAAGTTCAGGGCAAGGTACCCTCTCCTCATCAAGGATGGAGAATCCTCAAATTTTTCCCGCCCAGTCCCCACCCTGCAGTCAAGACACTCTACCCCACCTCCGCCCCATCCCTAATGTCAAGCGGCTTCTGGGCAAGGTACCCACTCCCCGTTAGGAACAGGGAATCCTCAAATTTCCCTTCCTCATCCTCAGTGTTGGGCGAGTTCAGCGCAAGGCACCAACTCGTTATCAAGGATGGAGAATCCTCGAATTTTCCCTGTTTCGTCCCCACCTTGTAGTCAAGACACTCTACCCCACCTCTGCATCATCCATAGTATAAAGCGGGTTCTGGGCAAGGCACCCTCTCCTCATCAAGGATGGAGAATCCTCGAATTTTCCTTGCCCCATCCCCAATGTCAACCGAGTTCAATGCAAGGCGCCCACTCCCCGTCAACCCAATATCAAACTTGATGACAAAAATGACCAAAAAGATATAATATGTATTAACCACATGGTAAATTTCCAAAATACACCAAATTGTCTTTACTTTTCAAAAATATAATTTTATGAAAATTTTGGAAAATTTATCCAAATTTATTTTTAAATTGTTATTAAATAGTTTATTTTATTTTTAAATGCTTTACTTACAGAATTATACTAATTTATCTTATACTTTCTAATATAAACTAATCAATAATTTCCTTTTTCCAATATTATACTAATTTATCTTAATAATTTGTGTAATTGTTGATTCAAATTACAATTTTCCCTTTCTCATACTCATTTATCTTTAATAATTTTCAATAATTTATAGAGAAAATTATGTAATTTTTTGATAGTAGGGGTGTTCACGGGTCGGGTTGGGTCGGTTTCATGGGATTTTCCCAACCAACCCCGACCTAGTCGGGTTACCAGAGGTGGGAACCGAAACCGACCTGATCGGTTTGAGTCGGGTTGGGTCGGTTTTGGTTTTGCTCCTGTACAAAGCCGAATAAACTCTGAATTAGTTGAGGACTTGAGTTGTGGGCGGCGGACCAACCAAGTTAAATTAGAGAATAGAAGATTTTAAGAGAAGACAAAAGTGGAATTAGAAGACTAGTAGGAAACTAGGAATTCAAATTGTAATTGCCTAATGGACCTTCTAGTTCTAGTAGGAATTCTAATTGTAATTGCCTAATCTAGGTAAAAAACTAAAAAAGGACACCTAATTAATTGAATTCTAATTGTAATTGCCTAATGGGCTTTCTATTTATAGTAGAAGTCTAGAAGACTAGTAGGAATTAGGAAACTGTCCAAACTAGGAAGTAGGAACTACCAAACTAGTAGAAGAAAGACTAGTTCGGTTCGGGTTGGGTCGGTTTCGGTTTTCTTATGTGAAAACGCAAACTTAGGCTGCGTTTGGTTGCAATGCAAACGCAAATTTGTGCGCTGCATATTTACCCTCTTTTCGGTTCATGAATGCAAATACGGTTCTGATCTTAAACCATTTTTGCACTCATCTTGTTTGTTTGAAATCAGTGCTAAGTGTGGGCCCCATGATTAAATGCTCCATTACCTTAACTCCAATGCCTTAACTTTATTTAAAAAGTTGATTATTAAAAGAATACAAAATTGTATCCAAATAGGTACAATAATGCCTTCTTTTTCCTAGAGTACAAAAATGTAAAAAAAATACGTACTTTATCTAATAATCATTAATTTTTTACATGTAAAACAAACGTTCACAGATGCGAACCGTAGTACATAAATACCCTAAATTAGTGTTTTCATTACAAACAAACGGAGCCTTAGGGCCAAAGAAAGCTATCACCCTTGTTTTTTTTCGGTTTTTTTTCATAAAGTCTTCCACTGAATTATTTTTTTGGGATAATTACTATCTGACAATTATTTAAAGTACCCCTATAGTTTGAAAACCTAATTAAAGACCCTATGGTGTAATATTACACACCCTACACTTCCATTAGTTGACGGGCACATTCCGCTTCACGACACTTCTAATTTTTTGAAAACCCAATTCTGCCCTCATCATTCATGACTGACCTTACCAGTTTCCATGTCTTTCCGATACCTCATCATTCTCCGTATTTTTTTTATTGAGGGATAAGGTTTGTACGTTGTCTCTATTACGGTTTATTATTATTAATTAATTATTTCCCTCTTTCCTTAAAAATAAGAAAAAGTTTTTTTGACTTGACAGTTGATAATTAGTCAATAACTGTTTCTTAAGCAATTGATATAGCTTTACTCGATCTTAAGGAAATAGAATGGGATGGATGAGAGGCTATATCAATTTTATCCTCAGTCCTCACGATACTCTCTATTATCCTGTGCTCTGCTGTACCATTTAGGGGTGTGAATGGACCGGTTTTTGGGTTAGATTCTGTCCAAATCAAAATCTATTTGAATGGATTGAACGATCAATAAGATATATTAAATTTGGATGAATTAGACAGACCAATATGACATATTGAATGAATTTATATTGGATTGAGTTAATATCTGGACCATTGATAAAAGATAAGAACATAGCCAGGTGTTAATGGTCAGGTTTGAGTTGAAACCAATCTAAATTAATAAAAATTTAAACAGATTGGAGAGTCTCTGGATCAGTTCAAAATGGTCCAAAATATTCATTGGACTGAATTGGACCAGATCCATTTATAATGCACTCACATTGAATCGGACTGGATCGAATTGGGCCAAATTCAGTCCAACTGACACCCCTAGTACCATTGATGTAGGTCGAGGACGTATCTAGTGGAAATTGACAAAAAAACAAGGGTTATTTCTGGAAATCCAATCAGTGGTACCGTGACTCCGCAACAAACTAATGGGTAAAGAAAGCACGTGTTATTTATTTCGGCAACTGTCCAGGACATGTCGGGCATTCTGTTCAGAAAAAAGGATAAAATCCGTATATCACTCGCTCGACGTCTTTCCTTCACACTTCCTCAGCCCGTTCCCGTCGTTTTTTCCTCCCTTTATTCTTATCTTATTACTAAAAAAAAACTTAAGCGAACTAGAGAAACAATAAAAATTAATTACAAAAGAAAGAAAAAACTCATAAAGCACTATTAATTAATAATTTAATATTTAGTGGCCCGGGCAGTTCGGGCAGTCAGTGGACGACAGCTGGCGTCTTGATGCTTTCACTCGAAAAAGCGTTTTTCTTGTTTGGACTGTGGATTCATCCGAGACGCATGGATTGTTTAATTATTGGCTTTTCTCACAATTTCGTATAAGCTGTGGTTAAGACAAGGATAATCAGTCCGTGTCAATTACATAAATCCATGTGTTTAGACTTCGTAAGTCTCATCTTATCTGAGGAGAGAAAGAAGAAAGATAAGTGGGGCCTACTTTTCCTACAATAAAGAAAATGGTGAGCCACCCCATGATAGCGATCGGATCAGAGCCATTTGATCAAGTACTCCGATTTGGGACCATCAGACCGGGTGGTCCCAAGGAAAAGAACATTTATGGTATGTTCAACATTGTTGTTAGCATGATTTGATAATGGGCTAAGTTGTAGCCGTCCATGTGGGGCCGCTGATGAGATGGTTTGATCCAACTGTCACCTGACACCTGGCAACCCGCCAATTAAATGTCACTTGTTTTATTTGTCTTTTGATGATAATTTTCGACGGAAGATCTGCAATGTAGATTGTGTTCAAAAGGAAATCTGGGCTAGTTTTCGAATAGAAAGACATGCAGGACCTACCCTGCTCCGATACCCATACCGTTCGGTGGGTCCCGTTTAATGGAGACTTCTACGTCTAAAAAGCCGCATGAACAACCAAAATTTTCTTTTCAATTCGGACGGCTAGGATTATCTTGTTACGCTAATACTTTATGTTGCGCCTATGTAGTACGTACACTACGGGCACCACTGATTTTGACACGTGTCGCTCATGCTAGTTGACGGGCCCCACCGGCGCGAAGACGGTTTTTTGACTGCGTGGGCGCTTCAGGGTTTGAGATCTGTGCACAATCGGTTGTAGACGTTAAAGGATCTGGACACGCATTCAATGATGGGACCCATCGAGAAATCTACACGGCTAGGAAATTATGATGGTGTCATATGATGGCAACACAGCAGTTTTCCCACCGTATTCCTTAGCACGCCGAAGGAAAATCTACGGCTCAGATGGTTGAGAAAATCTGAGTTTTACTATTTTGGGCCCAGAAGCAAATTTCGTAGGTGGGACTGGGACACATCCAGACAGCTTCTAGCTTTGTAGGTCTGGACGTACACTTGAGTAGGACCTTTGTACTAAAACCGGGCTACAGCTAAACTAGAGCTAAACCAGCTCTATTTATTTCCCGGTTCGTCATTTCAGGAAATTTATTTAAAAATTAATTCCTCGTAGACTTAACAGTGACTGGAAAATAAAAGGTCAACAAATCTCTAGTCTAGAGTCCAGACGGAAAAACCGAGACCGGACAAACCGGTGACTTGGAGACAAAATATTTTCTTTTTTGTAAAAAGATAATATTTTCTTTTTATTCGATCTAAGGGCGGAAAAATAATTAAAAGATAATTGGGAGGGTTGGAATCCAATAAATTACCTGATGTTCCTTCACACGTCCCATCCGATCCTTTGTTCCTTGCCTTCCACTCTCTCGCTCTCTCTCTCTCTCGCGCGCGCGCGCGCTCCGTTTCTGCGTATCGGCGTTACATTGTCGCCGTCGGTCCGACCTCTCTCGCTCCCAACAGCCAACACCAACGACGTTATATTTTTTCTCTTCTTTTTTTTTTTTCGCTAAAATTTTCCGTTTCTCTATAAATACTTTTAGTTGGAAGTCGTTTATCTCCACTTGTCTCTCCTCCTTCCCTGGAACTGGACAAACAGACGGTTGTGATTTCACCCCGTAACGATCACCTGAACCCCAATATCATCTCTCTCTCTCTCTCAAGTGAATGACAAATGGGTCCGTCTTGGCGAGAGAAGGTTCACTTTCTTCAACACTCTTCCTTTAAAACAACGCCAAAATATCTAAGTTGCTTCTCAGTCGAGGATCGCCGGCGGTAATCTACTATAATCCATTCCTTTCGGCGCTATCAATTCATATGTTGTATTTTAGTCATTCCCTTCTATCTTATTCTGAGTTCTGTCATTTGTTTTCTCCTGTGTGTTCGATCGTCTCTCTAACTTGATTTTTCTTTTCAGCTCCTATCGAACTTCCTCTTTTGCGTTCCTCAATTGTTTATACTTTTTATTTTGTCTTTAAAAGGAACTATCGGCTAAATGCGTTGTAAAGGGATTGAGGTATCAGAGATTTCTGCGAATCTGAACGCGAATGTTCCTTAGAAACCTCTCTGCTCTGTCCTGCCGATACCTTTACCTGCTTTGGCTCTTCTTCCTCAAATATACATAGAAGAATCTGTTATACTCTTCCTGGGTTAAGGAGACAAGATCAGTTGAAGGTGGAAAAATACTAAAGCGAAGGCAAACCAGAAAAAAAAAAGTTGGTGACCCATTGGAGGCAGTGATGTTGGATCTAAATGTTGTTTCCGCTGATTCGACCTGCAATGAAGATGAGATGATGATGGACAAGCTTCCGGATGGTTCTGGCGGTCAAATGGACGACTCCGGTACTTCCAATTCCTCCGTTGTCAATGCTGATGCTTCAAGCAACGGAGGCGATGAGGATTCCTGCTCCACCCCCGACAGGCGTTGCGGCGGCGGCGATATGTTCGCCTTCAGCTTCGATATTCTGAAAAAGGGAACTACGGCTGATGATGATGACGTAGAATCAGGGAACGGTAATCCGACGATGCCGACGGGTTTTGTTACGAGGCAACTCTTCCCGGTGGCCGCGGATGGAGAACATGGAGTAGGTGTTGGCGATGGTGGCCTTCGTTCGGGGCCGTCTTCGGCTTCCTCGTCTCGGCCTCATTGGGTGGATTTCTCATTCTGCTCGCCGGACGGCGGCGGCCAGCCGGAGATGGTCATGCAGCAGCAGCAACAGCAACAGCATGTGAAGAAGAGCCGCCGGGGGCCCAGGTCTCGTAGCTCTCAGTATCGGGGAGTGACATTTTACCGAAGGACTGGGAGATGGGAGTCTCACATCTGGTATTAACTCGTTGCATATATGCTCCTTCGTCCATCTGAATTCGAATTTCTGATTTCTATTTCTATGTCAATTTTCAACAATTTCTCGTTTTCTCTTCTCTACAGGGATTGTGGAAAACAAGTGTATCTGGGTATGAAATTATTGTATCCTTTTGGTTTAATTTCATTGGTTACTAGTCTGAGAATTGATTTCGGTTAAAACGCGTATTTGTTTATTGTGGTATTACCGCTATAACAGTAATTATTTTTTTCCCCTGGTATCGCCTGTACAATGAATTCGTGTTTTGGGTTTCTTAGGTGGATTTGATACAGCCCACGCTGCTGCTAGGTAAGCCTATTTTTGGATTCAACCCTGATTTGACTATTTGCAAATGGATTTCCTGAGGTCGTCGAATTTTCCTTCGTGTGGGTTTTCTCTGCTTCCAGGGCCTACGATCGAGCGGCTATTAAATTCCGTGGCGTAGATGCAGACATCAATTTTAATCTCAGTGATTATGAAGAAGATCTAAAGCAGGTAGGTAGGGTAGACATTGGTTACAAAGTCCTGCGTTTGTTGTTTCCTGTTGGTAATGTGTTTTTATGTTTTTTCAATATATCTTACCCACCTGTGACTGAGTAATATGGGCGGGGTGTTGATGTTATTGGGATCGATCTCCAGATGAGGAACCTTACCAAGGAAGAGTTCGTGCATATTCTTCGACGCCAGAGCACCGGATTTTCAAGGGGAAGCTCGAAATACAGAGGTGTAACGTTGCACAAATGTGGTCGATGGGAAGCTCGAATGGGGCAGTTCCTTGGCAAGAAGTAAGACTTCAATAAAATGAAATTACATTTTTTTTTTTGCGATTTTCTGTACCTTAGTTGTTGCTGCTGAAGCATATGTGGTTGATTATATCACTTTATGATCTCTAAAAGAGAGTTTTCATATACTTCTCCTCGGAAGCAATCGTTTCCTCCTCGTAAACATTGCTTAGATGCCTAATTATTCAAAGTAGAAACAAAAAAGAATAAAAAGAAAGTGCTTGGGGTCTCTGTTTTCATCTATGAGGATGCGATGCTTGCTTGCAGGTATATATATCTTGGACTATTCGACAGCGAAATAGAAGCAGCAAGGTCCTACTGATCATGCATTTCCCTCTCCCTGATACTGAATTTCTTACCCTGAATTCTCAACCTCAATAGTGTTCCATCCAACAAAAATCTCCATTTTGATTTTCTGGAAATCAGGGCTTATGACAAGGCAGCTATCAAGTGCAATGGGAGGGAAGCGGTGACCAACTTTGAGCCAAGTAACTATGAAGGGGAGATATCCTCTGAGGCTGAAATTGGAGGTATTACTAATCATCATTTAATTTAATTTTCTGAACTGATTTTTCAGTCTCCTGCAAGGCTGCAACACGTCTATGGATTTTTTTTCTCTCTAATTGTTGTATCTTGTTTATATATTTGTCGCAGGCAGCGGGCAGAATCTTGATCTGAACTTGGGTATTTCTCCCCCAGCATTTGTCAGCGGCTCAAAGGGGAATGAAAACATTGGGCTCAATTGTGGTCCTTGTGACATGCCTGACTCCAGGAGAGCTAGGGTAAAATATTCAATTTCAATTTGTGAATTTCGTTCTTCATTTCTAACAAATTAATTTGGCAACCAAATCTCTATTACAGACAATTCTTCAGTTATCTTTGGTGAAGTTCTTGGCATTTGTCTGTAATTATTTCAACTAGTAGCTCCAGAAGATCATCTCATTATAATAATATAAAGGCCTTTGATGGTTTATCTTTCCTTGGCTTTGTTGTCTATCACAGATGGAGAATCCTCCTTCAATGACAGTGGGTGGTCAACCCACCCATGGCCTAGCAATGGTGTCTGAGCACCCTCCCATCTGGACTGGTGTATATCCCAGTTACTTTCCCAATTATGAGGTAATATTTGTTCTTTTAATAATCCAGGTCGTGAATTTCTTTCAAAAAGAGGCATGAGTTCTACTGTTCTTCTAACACCTTTTCTTATACAAATTGTCCTATTGCTAAGTGTGTTTGATTCTTACTATTTGTACTTATTTTTTTGTGAAAAGATTATGGGACGGGTTTTGATTTTTTAGATTCACCTTAGTTCCAAAACTGAAATTAGATATCTTTATTAGTTTATTTGTGAAATTGATTTGCTCTCTTGTTTTGGAAAGAGTACAAATACAAATGTAGAGTACAAAACCTTGTATTTTGTATTATTTTGAATGTATTTGCACTGTACATTTTTGTATTTGTACTCTTTCCAAATACAGCCTCAATTCCTGCCCATGTTTGTCACTAATAATACAAAATAATAGGAAATACAAGGTTTTGCACTCTACATATTTGTATTTGTACTACTTCCAAACTGAACCTCAGGTGATCAAAATTGTATTAGCACGCCAAACTATAACAAAGAAACTCCTTTTTTTTATTGTTTAGTAGAGTGCAAAACCTTGTATTTTGCACAGAAACTTGTTCTTAAGAAGAATGCATTTCTGTGTCTTTTTTAATGGACTGGAAGATTGGTGTTCGGTTACCAGCAAGCATTCAACATTCCATGAGAAGTTGGCTGTGATTTAATAATAAATGGGGTTGTTTCTTCTCCTTGAATGAGCATGGTAAAAAATGTCGTTGTTGACTTTTTGTAGTTGTCGTTTTCCACAGGAAAGAATGGCAGAGAAGAGGGTCGAAGTAGGTTCACCGGGACTCTCACACTGGTCATGGCAAATGCACGGCCACAGTGGTGCAACCCCAATGCCACTGTTCTCTACTGCAGCATCATCAGGATTCTCATCTTCTACAGCCACGGCTTCATCACCGGCCCTTCCTCAACCACTCCATCCAAACACAACCCACCAACGCCTTTACATTTCTCGTTCCACAAATCCGGCGGGCAACAGCACATCTCACTTCTACTATCACAGGAGCTGAACTGAAACCACATACCACACCTCCGTCTGCACTGATCAAAGGTGGTTAGGCAAGCAAGACAACCCAAGCTAGTCTCTTTTTTGTCGTTGATTCAAAATTGTCTTCTAAAACAAATGCAAACTCAAGACCAAGGCTTCTTTATATTTACTCATACTAGACTCCTTAACGAGCTGGTGGATCTTTGATTCATGTAGTGAGATTGGTGCTTCCTGTTCTGTCAATTGTTCCTTTCTCTAGTCTGGAAAATGCAATTCTGATTTAATTCCGGTCTATGGGTACGAGACGTAGTGTATTGATTGTGGGAGGTAAAATGGGTAAATATTCCAAGCATTTTTTTTCCTGGTTTTGATTGTTTAGTAACGAGTCGTTTTCTATCCTTTTAATTTGTTTTTTATATATAGAGATATTGATGGTGAAGTGAACCCCGTATTCCTCGGCTTTACTTTTTGGCTGGTACTATGTATGTGTATGACAATGCTTGTCATTACTACTCGCCTGCTGCAAAGAGGAAAACAAACAAATAGACTGCACTAGGAGGAGAGAGAGGGAGGGGGATAGAGAAAGAGAGTAAAATCTTAAGTAGAATGTAAAAGCCTGTCATTGTATGGGGGGAGGGAAAGAGAGGGATTATTCCAGGCTTTTAAAAGACGTCCTATCTCTCTCCCCAATTTCAAGGCCCTGGCTATTGGCTTTGGCTCTGGGTTCCTTGACAGTGTACATGTATTATCATCATCATCATCAGCTTTGAGCCATCCTTTTTTTATAGTTTATATTCACACCTTGGAGGGGGGACCTACTGCTACAGTACTACAGCTACTGCACTGGTACTAGAGAGAGAGAGAGACTAAGGAGGTGCTTGCAGCCACAAGCATCTGAGGCAGAGCACAGGATGGGTTGTGGGTTTTTGATCCCGTGGACAATTTACTGTCCTCGTATCGTATGTGCACCGAGTCGAGCATGTGGCAGGCAGTGCAGCCGCATAGGAATTGGATTGGATGGAGCCCCACTTTGGCAAAAGCCCTCCTCTTTTTTTCTGGTCAAAACTCAAATACCGTCCAAACTCCAACCCAAAATAATAAATAAAACAGAGCACGCACCCTTCTCTGACCTCTGCTGGCTTTGGAAGCCTAAGGGCATCTCCATCTGGGCTTTTGACACGTGGAAGGATGGGGTGGAGGAGGTGATTAAAGGATTGAAACGTGACAGTCAAAAGGGCTGATGGATTGGATGGCATTAAGCCATTTAAGTCAGTAAGGTGGGTCAAAGATTTTCTTGGTTATTACTTCTTAGTTAATTTACATAACACCATATTAATGGCCACACCAGATGGTCCGTTCCAACAACCATTATAGCCTTGTATCGGCAATATCTCCCCATGAAATAAAACACAGACAACATCAAGGCTGTTCGAATACGAGTCTTGCACTGACCGAAGCCGATCTCCGACCCAACCCAACCCATAGTCTTTTATTATATCATTATATGCTCAGTTCAGACATCAGAGAGTTTGTTCCAACTTCCAAGCATCAAAGGGATCTTCGTTCATCAAAGGGTCTCGAATAACAGAGTAATTGGGAACCCCCTCTCCCTTCTTCAAACCTGGTTGATGAAAATGTTGTTCGAGTTCGACTGTGATACAGTGTTAAAATCAGCCCAGACCCAGAGTAGAGAGACTCTGAACTGAATAGGGGACCTCGTTTTTGCTAAGGTACCTCTCTCTAACCTCAGCAGCTATCCTCTAATCTAATCTATGAATCCATGGACAAAGTACAACTTAGGTAAGAGAGGGCAGAGGACAGAAGGCCAGACCCGACTGGAGGAGGCAATAAATCAAGAGAGTAAGTCGTAACGTAAATGCATTCCTAGGAGCTATTGACGTACACAGCTCTGACTGTTTCCCTCTATCTATGAATCCAACCCCCCCTCGGCCCTTCCCTTCCACGGTTCCACCACCATCAATGGTTTGTATTTCATAGAGAGAGAATAATGGTAGAGACCAGAGAGAGAGAGAGACTGATATTCACTAAATAAAAATTTGGACTAACAGAGGAAAAAGGTATACGTAGGATTAAAGAGAAGATGTTACTGTTCATACCGGGGGGGGGGGG